CAGTTGCTTTGTCTACAACTGCACCAGATCCGGTAAATGACTCCAGCCGTTTCCTGTCGTGGCAGTGGGGCTTTCGGCCTCATGACTCAGCGCCTGATGGTTGCTTCTGGCTTGTGCGCAACTCCAACTCCAAGTGGGGTTAGTAGACGGCTGACCGCTTCCGATACATTCTTCACGTACGAGGAGCTCGCCAAACGTTTGGACCAGTTGAATGTGGCTTCTTCTCTCGTTTGCGTATGCATTGGCTGACAAAATCGCGCGGGTAACCATTCGCTCTCACTAACCGTCGAATATATTTTAATTCAGCAATTTGTCTTCCCCTACGCAGCAATGCGTCTCGACGCGCCGGAATAGCGTTCTTACGTAGCTGCGTTTGTGACCGATTGGGTGGTTGTTTTTGTTGTTCAGGACTTGCATAGTGTTGGTTGCTTTCCTGAATACTTTAGTTTTTAGGCCACCATCGTCTTTGCGGCAAACTAGGACATCCAGGAAGGCCAGTTGGTTGTTTTCTTCTTCTTCCATCGTAAATTAAATGTCGGGGTGGACGCCGACTTTACGATGGAAGAAGAAGAAAACAACCAATAGGCCTTCCTGGATGTCCTCGTTTGCCGCAAAGACAATGCTGGCCTAAAAACTAAAGTGTTCAGGAACAGGAAATGACAATTATAGTACGCATGCGGGTGACCGCTACGAACCCTTATCTGAGCATGTCTCAGACTTGTTTACGATTACCTATGACTAAGGATTCCCGACGGAATCAGAAACGTCAGGACAATAAAACTCTTGTTCCTGTGATCGCTTCTTCGTCTTCTGAACTGCTTCCTGTTTCCTATAAGGACTTCTAAGCGAGACTGTGTGCTCGCCAGCTTGCGCATTACAGTAGTGTCGAATATTATTCATGTCGGATACACGTGCCTTATCCCTCTGCATATTGAATAGTTAATCAACCCCAAATAAAAGGCAGATTTAAGTAGGAAATTTTACTACGATACAGTAGTTACAGCAGTTAGGCCTGTCAGTGTACAATGGGTTACACATAAGTCAACCACCTT